CAGCCTTATATACAAACTTACAAAAACCCCAGGTCAAAGGGTTCACAACAGGATATTGATCCCAGTGGGGTGAGGTCAGGAAAACAGGAGATACCTGTGGTTATGCTGGAAAACAACTCTTAGAGACCTCATGGGGGTTGGGTTCCCACAATTGATGAGCCAGTGTTACATTATAATGAAGTAAAGTTCATGGTCTCCATTAGGGTTCATTCTGTATTTTATATTCTATGGGTTTTGACAGCTAATTATTCTAGCTGTCGTCATAGTGTCATACAGAGTAATAGTTTCACTGCCCTAAGTATCTACTGTACTGTTTCCACTTCCACTTCCTCTCTGCATCTCTCCCATTTCCAAATCCTGAGCAATCACTGAACTTTTTGTCTCTAATGTTTCTGTTCCTCCTAGAAACATATGTTTAAAATTATTTCAGCTAGTCTTTTTATACTAGCTTCCTCCACTTACCAGTATATATTTAAAGTTCTTGAACTTTTTTTGGCTTGGTAGCTCATTTCACCAGATCAATCCTTGGATATTCTGGATAATATTCTTCTGTTTAAATATACCATGCTTTGTTTATCATCTATTCACATATTGAAGGTTATCTTAGTTGCTTTAAGATTTGGCAATCATAAAAGTGAGTCAGCAGAACTTTGTAACTCATTTGAATAAGTACCAAGAGGCGTGATGCTGATCATTCAGCGAGAATATGTTTAGCTTTGAAGGAAGCTGCCAAATTGCCTTCTATAGTGTCAATCCAGTCTGCATTCCTACAAGCAGTGAACGGGACTTCTGTTTCTCCACATCATCTTCCCCAGCATTTTTTTTTGGCGGGGGGGGGGGGTCGAGGCAGGGTTTCTCTGTGACTTTGGAGGCTGTCCTGGAACTAGCTCTTGTAGGCCAGGCTGGTCTCGAACTCACAGAGATCCACCTGCCTCTGCCTCCCAAGTGCTGGGATTAAAGGCGAGCGCCACCACCTCCCAGCAGCTATTCCCAGTGTTAATTGTTTTTCTTTTAATACTGTTTGACTTTTTAAAACAATTTATATACTTTACATGCCAGTAGTCTTCAAGCTAAGTCTTTTGCAAATATTTTCTCCAAGTCCACTGCTTATCTTCTTATTCTCATAACAATTAACTCTCTATACCAGAATTTTCAAATTTTGTTGATTTCAACATAACCATATTTTTTCTCTTACATCTTTTTCCTTTTGGTTGAGTATCTAAGAATTTACTGACAAACCTAAAGTCACCTGTCAGTTTTGTTTTAGGTTATAGTATAGGAGTTTTATAGTTTTGCAGTTTACATTTATGTCCATGCTCTTTGAATGGATTCACTTTCACATGTGAACATCCATTTGTTCAAGAACTATATGTAAACATGACTATACTATCCTTTCTCCAATAAAATGCCCTTCCTCACTTGCCAAACATCAGATGGCTGTAGATTTATATGCATTTATTTCTGCCCCCTCTACTCAGTCCATTGCTGGGATTAAAGGTGTGCACCACTGTCACCTGACTCACTGTGATTTTTAATAGGAATAGTGGCTATGGACCTCAGCTGTTTCATAGGTGATCTTAGCTATAAATTTAGCTGTACTTTTTATAGATGCTATTTATCAAGTTGAAGAAGTTCCTTCCTATTCTGAGTCTTTCATTGTTTTTTCATTTTGTCAAAAGCCTTTCCTGAATGTGTTGGTGTGATCACATGATTTTTTTCTTCTTTACATTTGCTAATATGGTTGATTGGTTTTCAAATCCCACTTGGCTGTGATACATACCTTACTGTATTTGTAATGTTTAATTTGGGATTATTGTGACATTGATTACGAAGAAATACCAGCTGGCCTGCAGGTATGTTTGTGTAGCATCTTTGCTTGGGTTGAGTACTATGGAAATAATGGCTCTGTGTACTAATTTACAAAGTATTTGCTCTACTCTGGTTTTCTGGATGATACTGCAGAGAAATACTAATTTCTTCCTTAACAATTTCATAGAATACAGTAGTGAATCCATCTAGGCTAAATCATGACTATGTGGAAGATTATTATTATTATTATTAATTTCTTATTTATTTATCCATTTTTATGTGTATGGGTGTTTTGCCTGTATGTGTGTATGTATGTGCACAACTTGTGTACCTGTTGTTCATGGAGGCCAGAGGAGGGCATTGGATTCCCTGAAACTAGAGTTACAGACAGTTGTGAGCTGGCACACCTGGATCCTCTGCAAGAGTATCAAATTCAGCCAGGCTTCAAACATGTCTTTAATCCTAGCATTCGGAAGGCAGCAGTAGGTGAGTCTCTCTGTGAGTTCAAGACCAGCCTGGTCTACAAGAGCTAGTTCCAGGACAGCCTCCAAAGCCACAGAGAAACCCTGTCTCGAAAAAACAAAAAAAACAAACAAAAAAAAAACAGGGGAGCGTTTGAGACCTATAGGTTGAAAACTGCTGTAACAGAAAGGCAGAGAGAGTTAAGAGACCCATCTTGTGTCAAAACAGAAGTGACTACAGGCAAAACCAAACCAAACTCTGGGAAAGCTAGATATTTATACACATTTCTTTCTTACTGTTTTTGAGACAGAGTCTCACTGTGTAGACTTGGCTGTCCTGAAACTTGCTCTGGAGACCAGGCTGGCCTCAAGCCACACAGATCTACCTGCCTCTGCCTCCAGAGTGCTGGGATTAAAGTCGAATGTCAACACACCCAAATAAATGCATATTTCTCCCTTCCCCCCTTTCCCCTCCTCCAGGATTCTGCTGGTCTCACAAAACGCTGTCTGAACTTGAGAGAAAGGTGGCTTCAAAGTGTCCTACAGATCCATATATCATCGCATTGAGAACTAGGAATTAGACAGACAGATTCCCTGATAGGCAGACAAATAGGGAGAGGGGCTGTGACTAGGTAATAAAGGTGGCAAACTTCCATAATGACTGGATTTTTCCGCCTCCTCATGACCTGAAATAAAAGCATGGCAGTTTAAAATAAAAACCTCAAGAATTTTTGGGGTTTTTTTCCCTACCGCCATTCTTCTGGCAGATAGCTTCCTTGCTGGTTGTTTTGTTGTTTTCTGTTCAGTTGGAGGGGTTTTTTGAATATATGACTTAAAGATAATGGTCTCACATTCTGTGGGTTGCCTTTTCATTTCTTTTTTATTTTCCCTTTGTCTGGATTTTATGTTTTGGGTTTTTTTAAGTCTTTATTTATTTATTATGCATACAGTCTTCTGCCTGCATGCCAGCAGAGGGCACCAGATCTCATTCAAGGGTGGTTGTGAGCCACCATGTGGTTGCTGGGAATTGAACTCAGGACCTCGGGAAGAGCAGTCAGTGCTCTTAACCGCTGAGCCATCTATCTCTCCAGCCCATGTTTTTGGGTTTTGTTGTTTTGTTTTGTTTTTTGATGGGAGTTGAAAGAAGAGTTAGAACTTTCTGTTTTTGTTTTGTTTAGGGTGGGTTTTTGTTTGGGGGGTCATATTAAAAGAAAACATTGCCAAGAACAGTGTCGAGGAGCTTACTTACTACTTACGATCTTTTTTAAAAGGCGTTTTACAACTTGAGTAGATACTTAAGCTTTTAATTCATGTGAGTTAATTTTTGTGTGATGTGATGTAAGCTAGAGCCAACTTCACTCTTACATATTCTGTTTCCCAACACCATTCAGGAAACTAACACCCCCATTGTGTATTTTTGCTGTCGTTGTTGAAAATTACTTGATCACATGTGGGTGTGTGGGTTTATTTTTAGGCTTCCTGTTCTGTTCTATTGGTCTATATGTCTGTGGGGGCTTGTGTGTGTGGTGTGTGTGTGTGTGTGTGTGTGTGTGTGTGTGTGTGTGTGTGTAAGTACACATGTTTGCTGGCATCCGTGGAGTCCAGAAAAAGGTCAGAAGCCCTGGAGTAAGACTTACGGATGGTTGTAAGTTTCCCAGTATGGATGCTAGAAACTGAATCCCCATCCTCTGAAAAAGTAGCAAGTGTTTTTAACTCTGGAACCACCTCTCCAGCCCCTCATGTCTGCCTTTTACACTAGTGTCACACTGTTTTGATAATCCTTTCAATTACACTTTCACATCAGGACATGGGATAGCTTTACCTTTGTTCTTTCTCAAGATTCAGTTGGCTCTTGGGGTCTTTTATGGTTTCATACAAATTTGGGGATTTTCTTTCTCATTTCTGCATTGCATTGAAGCAGTGTGGACAGTTCAACAAAATAATGCTTCATTTCATGATCAAAATACAGATCTTTATTTCACCACTCTACTGATTTTTTTTTTAATTTTTATTCAAATGGACCCTTCCTTCTCTTTTATTTGTTTATTTTTGAGGCAGTGTCTCAGTGGGTGGCACTGACTCCTGACTGGCCCAGAACTCACAGGAATGCACCTCCCAAGTGCTTGGGCACATCTGGCTTTCCTTCTTTTATATTCATCAGAAACCTTTTGCAGTTTCTAATAAGAATCAAAAATGCCTGGTAATCCTACAGTGTTTTCAAAAGCTTTAGAAACTTTTCTTACTCCCTAAAAAATTGCATGCCTTGTGAATGGATTAGAATGGAGAAACTTCACCCATATCCGTTGCTTCCTGCCTAGCCGCACGTATGCGTCTCTCATTTCAATCTTCACTGTCTGCTAGGAAAACCTGTGGTGTGTTTGGAATGTGAGGTGTTTGCTGAAAAACACCTGTATGAGGACCACATGCTGTTCTGTGTTAACACTGTTGATAGATTTTCATAGCAGTCCAGTGCATGGCCATATACCACATAGCAATTCATATGTGTACTTCATTTGGATGGATGGATGGATGGGTGGATCTTCTTTTATAGCTATACAGTAACCATTCAAAGTATTACTTCCCTTTTGGCAGTTTCTATATATGTTGCCTTTTTTCTGATTTATAAGACAAAAAAATTAGTAACACCTTAAAAGAAGACAGAAAATACAGATACAAGTAGCTTATAATGTTCAGCTTATCTTCTTACGGAGTTTTGATCCTTTTTCTTAGACCAGAAGATCGATTCAGAAGTTACTAGAATGGGAAAATAACAGATTGTACCACAAGGTAAGAAATTTAAGACAAATAAGTGTCCCATTTGTATATTTTGCATTATCAAATTGAAAATGTAAGTACTAAGTAAATTAATTATCTAGCACACAAAGGAATGGATTAACTAATTAATCTGTTATTAGCATATGTTCTTGATAAGGTATTTGAATATTTGAGGTGCTGTTTTATATCATGCAGCCTAGGCTTTACTTTTAGTAACTTACTCAAATGCAGTACTCTATAATTAACCAAAGATGACAGAAAAATTCTTAACAAAACTCTACCTTTTTAGCTTGCTTTGCACTGGAAGTTGACTAAAAGGAAATGTGAAACTAGCAATATGATGGAGTATGTAAGTATGAAGCTGTTTTCATCACATTCTTGGAATTTCACCCCAAATGAAATATAGTACTGTTTGTCATAGTCCGTGCCTTTTAGCTTCTCAGCCCAAACGTCTGTCTGTTGGGTCATACAAGTCACCATTCATTTTCTTTAGATTTGTGGCCAAACAAAAGTATTTTGAAAGCTTACAGATCCATGTACATCTTAGAAAAGTCACAGTTCTTCTGCTCAGCTGAAAATGTTGTGCACCCTTTATCAATTGATTGGTTGGTTGGTTGGTTGATTTATCTCTCTTTTTTTTTTTTTGGTTTTTTGGGGTTTTTTTGTTGTTTTGTTTGTTTTTCAAGATAGGGTTTCTCTGTGTAGCTTTGGAGCCTGTCCTGAAACTCACTCTGTAGACCACCTGGCCTCCAATTCATAGAGATCTGCCTGCCTCTGCCTCCTGAGTGCTGGAATTAAAGGTGTGAGACACCACTGCACAACTATCTGGCTTTTCTTTAACGTGGCTGAAATTTAACTTGGAGTGAATAAACTACTGAATAAATAAAGTCTATTAAAATAGATTTGGGCCGGGCGTTGGTGGCGCACGCCTTTAATCCCAGCACTCAGGAGGCAGAGGCAGGTGGATCTCTGTGAGTTTGAGGCCAGCCTGGTCTTCAGGGCAAGTGCCAGGATAGGCTCCAAAGCTACACAGAGAAACCCTATCTCAAAAAAAAAAAAGATTTGGATGTATGCAGTCTTGCTGGGTGTGATGGCATGTACCTCTCATCCCAGCACTTGAAAGGCAGGGGCAAGTGGATCTCTCTGAGTGTAAGGCCAGCCAGGGATACATAATGAGACCCTATCTCAAAAAAATTTTCAAAAATAGAAGAAAGCAGGCAGCTTTAATCATAAAGCATAAGAATACCTATAAACAACATGATCTATTTACTATCATGGACCTTCCAAACTCCCAGTGTTTATCATTGAACATTCCAGCTCTGAGAATATAGTGCAGTTAGTAACGTGCTTCTCCAGCATCTGGAGCCCAGTTTGGTCCCCAGCATCACTTTAAACCGGCTGCCTGGAAGTTCAAGGTCATCCTTGGCTGCATAGTAATGTCAAAGCCTGCATGACTTACATAGGACTGCCTTCATCGTAATAATAAAATAGCATAATAATAGAAGTGACTCAAGCCTGTGATTCCAGCAGAGGCAGGTAGGTATCTGTGAGTTTGAGTCTACATAGAGAGCACCAGGCCAGCCAGGGACACCCATAAAAAAAGAAATCTTGTAAACCTTTCTGCAATTCAGTTGTTTTATAGTCAATCCTTTTGGGCAACTCCTATTTCACAAACAACTTACAGAAACTAATAATCCTCAACTAATATTAGCTGCTTTCATTGAAAAAATAAAAACAGGCATGTTTTCTAATCTGTATAAAGCAGTTTTAATCTCTTCTACTTGGCTGAAATAAAAGGCCCAGGGATATAAAAATGTAATAGAGTTGGGCTCTCAGCAAACAGCTGTTGGAAATCGGACAGTAACAGCTTTTGTTCTAGCAGGTAGGTTTGCCTGCCAGTTAGTTCACTTTGGAAATGAATGGCCTGTTTTGTAGAGACTTGTGCTTAATTCTTTGCAGACCTGCTTCATGCATTTCACTCACTTCCTGGAATTCAAGATGAAATATAGTCCTGTGGAAACCAACTAGACTTTTCAGGTTTATGTACATTAAATGAAAAATATTTTGTCAATGTATTCTTTTTTGTCTTTATTTTACAGGTAATACTAATAGAATTCTTACCAAAATACCCCATATTCCGACCCGACTGAAGAGTTTTGTTCGGTCACTTCTGTGTTATCTGTCATTTCCTACCCTTAGTGCCTTGTAGATGATCTTGGAATGGAGACAGTCTCCTTTGCTGTGTTCAATGTATTCTTTATAACAGTAGAATATTCTTCACACTCTTTTATTTGTGTTGATTTAAGAAGACAATTTGCACATCTTTTTTGTTATTAAATGAGGCTTGTGTTTTGCACTCTCAATTTTTAAATACACACAAACATATACTAGTATATGTAGTTGACAATACAAACATCATTGCTGGTGTGAAAGAAACAAAACCCTTGTTCTGAGCATGCTGCCTTAGGATTTTCACACTCACCATTTCTAAATATGCTTCATTTTCTAGGCTATTTAATGCTCTGTAATCCCTTACTGGATACACCCAAATACGCTTTTGGTAGCTTTTAGAAATGGTTTTACTCTGCTTTTAAAGAACATGCAATTAATCGCACTGGTTTCCTCCTGCACTTTGCTAAATTGTCACTTGTTAGTGGATAAAATATTTAAACTCCTAAAGACTTGTAAATATTGTCTCTTTGCATAATGTAAAATGTGGTATGCCATGGTTTACAGAATGTATTATTATTCTTACTGTATTGCCAACAATTCTGTGTAGATTTTAATATGAATGAAGTTTGCAAGCATCCTTTTGAATGTAGAGACCTTTAACATGCTGTTTTGTGGCAAAGCCAAAATGAGTATGTTAAATTTCAGGTGTGGGGCAGGATTGCCCTTCCTAACAAAGTGGATTAAAATTGAAATCATTAGTCAGATCTTGTAAGTTACACCTGAGACCAAGAATCTTATTTTTTCCATTTAATTCACTTTTTCCATTTATCCTCCACCCTCTATAATATTTGACATCTAACACATCACTACATTAGCTCTCATTTCCTTTCCCTTACGTATCTTTTCCCTCTTTTGAAAATACATGGAATTTCTGCCTTAAAGTGTTTTGAGAGCCAGGAGGTGATGGTGCACTCCTTTAATCCCAGCACTCAGAAGGCTAAGGCAGGTGAATCTCTGAGTTTGAGTCCAGCCTGGTCTACATAGTGAGTTCCAGGATAGCCAGGGCTACACAGAGAAGCTGTCTCAAAAAAAAAAAAAAGTGTCTTGAGATTTTGAATCCTGTGAGGTATCAAGGCCTCTATGAAAGCCACAGTTTCTCCTCTTCTGAAGTTCTTCTTTTCCACATTGAGAAAGAGTGCTGAGAAACTATACCTACAGATCCAATCAGAGTTGATAAAATATTCTTAACCTTCTGCTTGAGAATATTTTATAAACACTTGGAAATTGCCAACAAGGAAAGACAAGTAAAATGTAGATAAAATTGTTTTCCGTTCATAATTGCTCACATGTTTTGATTGGGACATGCATCTTTCTTTTTTCACAATTAAATTGAGTGAGATTATCACTCTGGTTCTACTACAATTTGAAATTATAATAAATTATAATATAACAAAAGTTTTATATCACATTAATTCAACTGCACGTGAATGCCTATATATAGGCATTGTTTGTAATTTGCAGTGACTGATATTCATTCTCTTTGTCCTTCTATTCCTAACTGCTTTTAAGTAAGTTCATTCCAGTGAACAGAACAACCATTTCTGAATACAAGGTCAAGCTTTTTTAAGCCACTTTTAAAAGTTATGTCTAATCTGAAATCCTAGTCCTTGACCAGAGGAGGAAGAAAGACACACAGTTTGATATGTGCTTCTAATGGTTTGCACAAACACTTTTGGAGCCCCATCCCCCCATGTCACCCTGCCACCCCAAATCTCTAAGTTCTAATATGTTGTATATGCCTGCAAATATGTTTGCCTGCTGCAAAATTGAAGGTGTATTTTTATAGACAAGAAGGAAGCCTCTGAAAATGCATACCCAATGTCTTGTTTTATAGCTAAGGTCAGGGAAAAACATACCTGTGTTTTATGTTCCCACTAGTGTCATCAGATTTATGCTTCATACTGTGACATTTTAATACCAAAATTTATTTCTATCATAATACAGAATCTTTAATTCTCACTGATAAAAATCATTCTTATGAATGTCAGCCCTCAACAATCTTACATTTGTCTTGAGCCTTAGAATTTGACCAAATAGTGATCATAATCACTTTTTCTGCCATGTACAAATCACACTTCATTTTGTTCAAAAAAAAGAAGTGTAACGAATTGTTTCCATGAAACAGATATTAATATAGGAATAGCTTGTATCTGGAAGTGACCAAGTATAATTCAAGTTACTATAGTATTTGTCATTAAAAACATTTACCACAGTATGTCCATTCAATTGGATCCACTCTCATAAACGTGTTATTTTATTGTTCAATATACTGATTTACTAATCATAGTTTCTTGAGCTACACAGAAAACAATCTTTTTTCTTTTCCTTTCTTTCTTATGTGACTTTGTTTCACCCTACTTTCCCTTAAAGGGGTTGATTAGAATTGGGGTAGTTAAAAATGACTCAGCAAATGCTAAGGTGATAGAGTACACCTTGGTCTCTAATTCCTCCCCCACAAAACTCTTTTCCTTTTAGCCTCAGGAGAGGGTGTAACTTGTATTTTTCCATTGGGTTAGCCAACTATTTTATGAAAGTTATTTTTGATTGAAAAATTTTTTTAATTTCTTTAATACATGCTATCCCTTTATTAAAACTGCCATGGTAGTTTCCAGAGGGAAAAAAGTTTAAAATTAACATGTTTTTGCCAAAGCATTTAAATCTCACCAGGCTTTGAGACTGCAAGTTAAAAGACTTTTTCTAAGTCACCTTCTGAAAAACCTGGCGTGTGGTGGTTTAATAACTTTAATCCCAGCACTTAGGAGGCTAAAGCAAGAGAATTGCCCTGAATTTGAAGCCAGCCTGAGCTATAGAATGAGACACTGTTTAAAAGAAAGGAAAAGAAAAGAAAAGAAAAGAGCATTGGTTTCTGTTACTTCTCATTTGGTCCAAGATTCTGGCTTAATAAATTGATTCAACTGGTCATTTTAAAGCTTGTCCAAAAGGCAAGTAGCATCCATATTATTAATAAAACTATGGGCAAATGTCACTTGCAGATAAACTCCATCTCAGACATGTCCTCTACTCTTCCCCTCTTCTCCCATGTTAATTTAGGAAAGAGATCATTGTAACTTTAGAAGTAGATGGGAAAGTGCCTTGTCTTTTTTCAAAGATAACATGGTATGTGGAAGGAAGCAGAATGAATGAAGTGGTAGATTATTAGAAATTATTCTTTTCAACTAGGCATGATAGCACAAGGTTAATGTGTCTCTTATTTAAGCCCATTTACTTAGCTTCCAATCATGTGATACATTAATGACAAAATACCATAGAATAAAACTATCAGTTATTTAAAATTGCTGTAATTGTAATGCTAGTAAGCATAGAATTTAACATGGTTCTAGAAGGAAAATAGTCTTTGATTAAAGACCCTACCAAAACTCATGTAAGAATTGAATGTCCATATTTCCTGTACTAGCATGACCTGTAAAACACTAATATCTCAGAAATTAAACTGTGTTCATGCCTAGCATTGCCATTTTTAATGAGAGTTATTGTTGCCTTCGATAATTTGAGTAAAGCTCAATAACATTTGTAGGCCTAGCAACAATGTCTGAGACCTATACAGATCACTAGCACTTTGATTTTTGTTTACAGATAAGCTGTCACTTAAAAATTAAAGCACTACTTGAACATGAAGACCCCAAACTTTCATTTGGATTTGCTGTATGTCCTAGGCAAATATGGAAATTATATCTATCTGATTAATTGGAACAGTTTACATAGAGGAAATATTTTTCATTAAATTGATTAGAAGTATTCAAGTTCATTGAAATTAAGTCCAATTATGCCTATAAAAATCTGCTTATTTTTTAAAAAGAAAAGAAAAAGGTCTATTTTACAAGTATCAAATCATCCAGGTTCCCTTAAGTGGTGAACTGTTGAGAGATTTTTTTCATGGTAAAGAATAAGTTTATTAATACTTGTTCATATACTTGTGACTAAAAATAATTGAAGGATATCTATAAGTATGTCCTTCCCTGTATGTGTGTGCGAATGTGTGTGTGTGTGTGTGTGTGTGTGTGTGTGTGTGTATGTATGTATGTATGTATGTATGTATGTAATCCTTATCTTGCTCCAACATTTCCTTACCTGATTCTGAGCCAGCCTTCTTATTTTGATGATGGCAACCTGAGAATATGTTCCATTTTCTGTGAATTTTGTCAAGGTCAGACTTAATGAAGAAACAATCTATTTAATATTGTGGGCCTCAGGCAAGTGACCCAAATTACATGTCAGTGTTTTTTCATCTGTAAAAGGAGAGGGTTGAACATTGAGCTGGCCGAGAGAGAGAGAGAGAGAGAGAGAGAGAGAGAGAGAGAGAGATGAGCTAACATGCCATGGTTGTGAGAAGCCATGGAAGATCATTGCTGTGCATAGTGTGAGAACGGTTATTCTCAGATCTATACATGTGGCGGAAACTCACAGTGCCTAACACACAGTTTGAGTTCAGTTTGCTGGCTGGCTGCTAGTCAGTGTGTGTTAATAAAAGCACACTCAAAGAATCTGATGCCTGGTAGACGTTATTCCCTCTGTGCTGATAAAAGTGAATGTAGTTTCCCTAGGAAGTAAGGGCTGGGATCTCTGTGTTTTGCCATGTGGAATCTGATTGTGCAGTTGGTATCCAAGCAAGAATTGTAGCTGTGCCAAGAGCAGTCATGTGAAAGTGTCCACTTAGACTATGTGAAGAATTGCATATTCAATTACACATCTGCTTCGATGTCTCACCAAGTTCCCTACTCTCAAGCAGGTCTATTGGAATGAATTTAGAAAATTAGGTGGAAAGGAAAATGGCATAGAGTTCAACCCCAAGTCCCTTCTTGTTTCATTCTTAGTTCTGCTGCTTAATTCCTCTGTACCTCATGTCCTCATTGCTGAAGTGGGGACGATAATCTGGACCTACCTCACAGGGGAATTGAGGGTCTTTTTCATGTGTTCATGTGCTTAGAAACTGACTAAAAGAAGTATTAGATTGAATAATTATATAATTTCTGAGTGGATATGACTTTTCAATCCATGTTGTTGGGTTTTCTTTCTTGGTAACTCCCTAAAGAGTAAGTGTTGCAGTTGGTTTAAATTTTTTTAATAGTCACTTTTGTTGCTAATGTCCTATTTGTTAAACATGAGTGATTGT